CCCCGGGCCGGGAGCTGTCCCTGGGCCTGCTCCGCCAGCGCCACGCCTCGCTCCGGCGCCCTGAGGTGAACAGCTGCTGCGCTTTTTTTGCAGAATTTGTGTTCCTTCTGGCGGAAAAATGGCACCTGGACCAGCCGGCAAGGTACCAGGCGGTGGAGTTACTTGAAAGGTAACAAATCCCCCGAAAGCTCCGTGCGTTTCGCGTTTCTCTCCCGCGGTCACGCTGCGTGTGCCGTGCCACTCCTCCACACAACATATAGCTCTGCGTGTGTTTCCAGAGCTTTGTCTCATTGCTCGTTGAATCCCCATTGACAGCCTTCTGTATGTTCTGACAACGTGCAGAATTGCTTTTCTTCCTTTTTTCTCAGCAGAAGAGAATGTTTTCTGAGGAATTGTGGGTTTTGTAGGTTTATGATCAAGCAAGTAGAACAAATCTCTAAGTGCTCCAGAGAGAACGTTAAAAGTCGTGGACAAGGACAAGGGAGCAGCCGGAGCTCTCTGAAAGATGAGATCTATGACACATTTGTCCTGCGACTCGTGTCGTGCATTCAGCTTGCGAGCAAACTTTCTTTACACTACAATGTAAGCCAGCTAAACCTTTTCTTACAACATTTTTTAGCAGTGTAGTTAATTATGTAGTATGTTAATCTCTCTTAAAAAATAGATTTCCTCTTTGGAAGGCAATAATGCAGAGGATATTGATGTGGAGACCTAAATCTCTTCTGTTTAGGGCAGGTTAATTGTCACTCATCAGGTAACAGTTTGTCAGGAAACGTTCCCGGCACTGGGGGAAAAACTACAGGCAGCAGGAAAACTGGCCTGTGGTTGTTGAAAATTACAGAGCTGCAGAGGGGTCACAGCTGACCTTCATTTGTGGAGGAGAGGAAACCTGCGGGAGAGGAGGTCTGAGCTGGGTTTAAAAGCCGAGTTGGCAGCTGAGGTGTGGGCAGTGTCACCACTGCAGGGGCTTCTGTGTAAACTCAGTGGGAGGAATAAAGCAAAAAAGAACTTTGTTCTTAGCAAGTGCCTTATTGCCTAGAAGAAAACTTGTCTTTTTCCTCTTCAGATAGTTAACAGTGACACAGCTTTGAAATTTCTGCAGTCCTTAAAATACTCATACACGAAACAGGAATTGCTTGAGTCTGAGCTTGCTGTTTTAAAAACTCTGCACTTCCAGATCAACATGTCGACTCCCTTGGCTTATGTGGAATTGCTTCTAGAGGTTTTAGGTAAGAGTATTAATAGGAGAGAATGAAAAAAAAAATTTAAAAGGCATACTGGAGATCTCATACTATGGATTTTTGCATACCATGAAGGCACGTGAAACTTCTCGGACTTTCCAGGGCTTTACTTTTGAGATGAGAGCTTTGTCTGTAGCAGAATCTGATGAATGTTCTTGGACACCCAGTCGTGACTCTTTCAGCAACAGATTGTTTAAACGCCCCAAAACTTAGCATAAGGCCACATTTTCGACAGCAGTGTGCCATATTCTTTGCCCAGGTATGAGAACCTGAATTTCAGAATGAAATTGTAGCGAGAGTAGGAGAGCCCGTGGCACGAGGAGGCCTGGGGCCCTCGGAAGCGCGGGGCCGTTCTCACCAGGTGCCTTCGTCCCTCGCTCACAGTTACTAAGGCTTCGTTCTAGTTCAGTTTAATGGCTCCAAAGGGACGGCTGGTCATGTGTGATCTCTGTGCTAGGACATAACGGCTGTCTGCTTCCTGCAAAGCCACTACACCAGATGTGTGTGCAACTACTAGACTTCTTCTATCTTACAAGAGACTCCATCTACGACACTTTGCTGAAGATTGCCATTGAAAATTCAACACCAAGCAGCCTGCAGGTGTAAGTAGCTTGTGTGACCATTACTTAAAGTAACTATCTGAAATTAAAACACTAAAGAAAGCTAAGAAATAGGAGCATAATTCCAATTATGTCATTTAGGGGGGCGTGTTTTAAAAAAATAATAATTTTTGAGGCTTTTATCATCATTTATTGATCTTAACATACTAGTTCAAAGCAATCTGCTTCAGCGTGTTTCCTTTAGGAGCAAAATAGGAAAGTGTTTAGCCTGACTGCACAAATCCAGCTTTAGCTCTGTCTTTTAAACAGTCTGGGGCTTCACTTGGACTGAATTATCTTAACATGTCTGTAGCTGCGCAGCGGTTACAGAAGTAGGTGCTTTTGAGCTGTAAATCTAGCATCATCTCACACCAGAAGACACTTTTACTTCTGCAGAGCAAAGTTTTTGACAGTAAAGGAAGACTTCATGCTCTTGGCTGTCGGAATCATCAGCACAAGCGTGTTCATACTAAACCCTGGGCACTGGAAGCAGGTACAGTCGCTTGGAAACGCATTAGCTCTACACGGAAAAAATGTGCTGGTTGTTGATGTTGAAGTACAGCGAGAGGCCAGGCAGGCTCTGCTGGGAGCAGCGCGAGGGAGGAGACGTCTTTCGGGTGTTTTAGCAAGATGTGCATGTGCTCCTGTAAGAGCGTTGCGAGGGTGCGTGGGGAGCTCTGCAGGAAAACTTGTGCTCCCGTGAGCGCGTCCTCGCGCTTTGGCTGCTTCGCAGCCAGAACAAACCCCCGCAGGCTTCTCTCGCCGACAATGGGAGAAGCAATCCTGTGGGACAACTTTCTGCCCAAGCAGAAATACTCTGAACTAACAGCCTGTTACAGGTAGTAGCTTTTTCATTTTACTTCTTCAACAGAAGTGAATAAATTAAAAAAAAAGCCCAAAACCAAAAAGCCAAAACCCCAACTGAATAAAAAACTTTACTAAGAGGCTTCAACTTTTGTTTAGCGCTGTTGTTCTCGTTAGAGTTGGAGGATTAAGAGGTACGACTGTAAACTGATGTCTCTTAAGCACGTCAAGGAAGTATCCTCACTTGTTGTTGTTGTTGTTTTAAGGTTGTGGAACATTTAAACTGTATCACTGGCATTACTTCACAAAGTATCTTAGAATTTTCTTACGCAGTACTGGACCACATCCTCGGCAGCACCACTCCAAGGCAGCGCTACGGGAACTGTGGAACAAAAGTGCCAGAGAATTATTCCTCTTAAACAGAGCTGTCCTCTATGGGCAGTTGCTGGTGTATCGGCAGCGAACCGGCGCTGCTGGTAACAGTCTGTCTGTGATGCTGCAGGGGCACCCGGGGCAGCTTGGTTTCACTTTTGGTTTGAACACCACGTGTTCGGTAACATTTGGTATCTTACATGTTAGAAACGTTTGTCCTTTCAGGCGATGCGCCAGTGCTGTGAAGGCAGGCACAAGGAGCAGAGTAGCTTCTAGAAATACCTCTTTCAGCACTAGAAGTTTTAAGGGCTGCATCTTCTAAGTTATAAATATGTTTCCTTTTTAAAGAGTCATGTTCTGCAAACCGTTCCGCTCAGTGATCTGTATTGCCAGCAGGAGCTCTCTCACCCAGGCGTTCCCACCAGGGCTGTTGCTTTCTTTCTCCACTTGCTGCTTTTTAAAAATTGAGTTACTGTCGCGGGCAGCCTGCTGGTTACTCTTTGCCAGTGCCCTGAGCCTGTCTGCTCTTACCCTGAGAAAGGCAGCTGTTTGACCGCTGTTGTGAGCAGGACAGCAGGTCCCCGGGAGTGCCGGGGGCTGTTTGTGCTGTGCCAGATGAAAGCACTCTGGGCGTTTTATTATTCCCTGGGTGCACCCCTGTGCCAGAACAGGCTGCAGGCAGCATTACAGAGAGTCAACGTCATCACTGCTAACAGTATCTTAAAGAGCATCACGCCCTGTTCAGTTCAGTGGCACAAAGAAGCGTTGATACAACTTGAATATTTTATTTCAAACTGTAGTTACCCTTTAACAACCAAACAGCTTCCGCCAGTTCCTCCGCGTTACTCCCTGTGTCTGTAACACTTTGCTTTACTAATCCGTGTGTTAAGCTGTAACAGAGCAGTATCAAACTCAGTGGTGGTTTGAAGTTCACCAGTAATTTATACGTGTCTGTAGACCCCAAAAGTACCAGTTTGACATTTATTTAATAGCTGGTTTTTATTCTGTTCAGCTCAATGACATAACTTTACATATTGCTTTTCTATATACTACTTGTAATAATGGTATTTTAAATAAAGTGTCCTGTGGATTTTTGGTATTGTAAACATTTTGTACTGGTTAATATTGAGACATCTAAATTTGACTTTCTCCAATGAAATGCAGACACTCTACAGCTGCCAGGATGAGCTCTTTACACGGTTACTTGTTATAGAATTGGGATGAAACCCAGGCAAGACCCCACTTCAGGTTAGTTAACATGAATTTTAGTGCTTTTGTCCATTGCTCCTCGGAGTTAAACTGCGTTTTAATAGAGTAAGAGCCACCGCTGCCACCTGTATCTTCAATCTTGCCTTTCTCCACGTCCATCCTGTATCACACACAAAGTTTAATCAGTGCATTACTATTGCAGGCGTTTAATCTCAACATGCTATAATTTGAATCTGACATTCATATTATTCCGAGTAAGATTACTTTGTTTTTAAAGGAAAAGTAGCAAGCGTCAGGTCTTCACCTGGGGAACTAGCTTTACGTTTTCAATTAAACTAAGAGTAAACGTGGCAATTCTGCACGTTATAAAGAAAATGAGACGATTCTAGAAGGGTAGGACTGGAACAGCAACCAGTGCTGCAGACTGGTCCAGCGTGGGAAGCGCACAGGGTGTAAATTTGAGGTGCTACGTAGCAACACTCACCTGTACGGCAAACAGAACCGAGTTTCGCCTTTTTCCACTTCCTCTTTGAATTGCTGCACACAGTCCAGGAAAGCCACCATGGCGTGATCGAACTTATTGTCCCAGAAGAACCTCAGGCCTCCGGAACAGTACAAGGGCAGCTCCTGGAAACGAGATTTATTTCAGGCACCCCAGCGCTCCATTTCGGACGTGGGCGTTGCAGCTCTTTAGTCTTGTGCGAGGCTTCAATTTGTCACAGGGTGCTCGGAAATGGTTTGTAGGACACGAGTGTGACTTGTTTTGTGGCTAGTGCCTGTAGCGTGCAGGTGTAGGTTCCTAATTGCCAACAACCTTCCTAAATCATGCTGTCTTCCTCTGGCCAGCTGCGGCATATCGTTCACGTGTCCTGTTGTTTTTAATGCTACTGGGTGGCAGAACTAGTGGCTTGCTACAGGGTACAGAGTGAGATGTGAGTGAAGTTGGGAGAGCCAGCTCTCCTGTGCCATAAATTCCTAAATAGCCGAGTTTGTCTTCTGCATCCCCCAGCGTGACCAGGGTCAATCTCCTCCGATTTGTGCAGGATCTCTTACCTTTGATTTGTCCGTGAGGGACTCTAAATACGAGTGGTTGCCGTACGGCACGAGACGATATCTGAAAGGAGACGAGATTCACAGGCAGATGAGTCTGTCTCTATCCGGGACGCAAGCGAAACGTGTGTTGTGTTGCGTGTACCTCTGAAACTTGAGGCCCATTTTGTTGGCGAGGGCGTGCAGCAGCAGCACCGTCTGCCCCCAGGCGGCGTTGATCTCATTCCATTCGACAGGAACGCTGGGGAGTCGGCCAAGTCTGAAGTTATTTATTGTGCCAAACTGACCGCTGTGCCTGCGGTAAGAGGAACTGCAAATCAGCACATGGGGGCAGGAACAGCTTCTAGCACACACCAACCAAGCAAGGGCCACGTGCAGACAGGCTCCGGTTAAAAACTGTATTTAAATACCAACCACTTGTTCTCATTTTATCACAGACGTGATAAAGAAAAAACAAATCCAACCCCACTAAACACCCAAAACCCTGAGCTACCCGTTCTGTAAAGCCTGACACTAGAGTGTTATTGCTGTCAAGCACAGCATGTTCTGGCTCGTTAGCAGGGTTAGTGAACGAGCCACGTGACAACCAACTGGGACATGGCACAGTGTCACAAACTGTTCAGCTGACCCTGGTGGGAGCTGTGAGGTGCTGTGGGGAAGGGAGACACGACTGGCACCTTTCCTGCCAAAGGCAGCGCTCCCCAAACTGCCCCGCAGCGTGGATTTTGAGCAAACTGGCGCCGTGTTCCAGCGTCAGCGTTACCAGATGTGAAAGGTTGCATTGAACACGTTGGTTTTCTTTAATTTATCCAGTTGCATCTGGGCATAGCGCATTTGGTTGTCCACACTTTTCAGCTCATCATCTAGCTCCAGCTGTTGCCTCTTGAATTCACAGTATTCTTTCTGATACCTTTTAACAGAAGCAAGAAAAGAAATGCTAAGTGCTGGCTTTTACAGCAAAGCGCCTGCTCACGTGACATTTGAAGTTGGCTAGACCAAAAACCCCTCATTTTTGCAAAGAAAAAGCCACTTGCATCTGGGCATTATTCACAGGTTTCTCCACATTATAATCTCATTTATCTGTTACCTAAAATCCCCACCACAAACTGCAGTTGTAGTTCACTCACTGAGCTTCTTCCTGCTCCAGCCGCTCTGCCTCTGCCCTGACTCTCTCAAAGTCTTCAGCCACAGTCTTGCGGTTCTTCTCAACGTCCTCCAGCTCCTGAATCAGTTGCTCTTCTTCCAGTGCAAGTTCTTTCAGTTCTGTTTGCAGTTTCTCCTTATCATCCTCGTTCATTTGTTCCAGTATCTCCAGACATCTCCTAAAGGAGTGACAGGATTACCACACCCGGGATCCTGAGAAGCCCCCCACCAACAGTGCCCGGTTCTGTGAGAGCCTGCGCACACGAGCATTGGTGCAAACAGGGACTCTGATCTCACGTGCAGCTCTCGTTAATCCCGAGCTCTCCGCACTGATCCTGCACTGGGAGCCAGGAACGCGCACAGGAGAGCAGGGGAGCGAGAGGGTGACCCAGGATCTGTTGCTGCCCATCAGGAGCCATCTCCGAGGCCCTCGGTCGCACAGGGCTGCTGCCACACCGACACCACGGGCAGGTGCCGCCAGTCATTCCGATGGGCTCACAGACTCCAGCTTGAGAAGCTGTACCACAGGATTCTCAAAAATAAATCTTTCATTGCATCCAGACAAAAAAAAACCCAAGTGCTGAAGTCAGGGATGTCTCTTACTGACCACAGGCAGCCGGACCAGGGCTGTGCTCATCCCCAAGGCTTCAAACTAAAGCAGCTCAGTCTCAGGCCACCCCCAGGTCACTCACTTGTAGTTCTGGCACTCGTTCTCCGTGATGTTAAGCTGTGTGTCCAGCTGGTCGAGCAGAGTGTCTGTGCATTCCTCGCACAGGGGGTGATCCACATCTGTCTGCCCAGACATGATGTCAAAGAGGTCGCCGGTGACCTGCGGGAAGAGCTCGCCATTAGCTCAGGCGTGGCCACCGGCATCTGCCAGATGGTTCTCAAACAATGGGCTCGTGGGTCTTCAATTAGCAATGTATTTTCTGCAGGTCAAATCTCAATATAAAATAAGCCAGCGTTACTGAACTACTCGCCAGCAAAAGTACTGCAAGGCCAGTGCTACAGGAAACTTTGCAGTTTCATCTTGAAGAGCGCCTAGAAAAAACGATGCTCTGTTCAAAACACCCAAGCTCACCAGCTCACACCCAGCTTGCCTTTAGTCTGCGGCTGAGGTTTTCCATGGTGCCGCCGTCGGACGCCTCGCCGATCAGCGTGAAACTGTTGGCGCTTTCTGTTGACATCATTCTTGGAAAGAACGTT